GAATATAATCTTCATTTGATTTTATTACTAATCGAAACTAGTTTGATCAAACTGAGTGATTAATCAATAAAAACATTAGTAAGCAATTTCAAGTTTAAATCAAAAGAATATTTTATGCATGTTCTATAACTATTGATTAGAAGCACACGTTTCATAAGATAATATTTACTTACATATACCATTTGTAACAATATTTGATCAACTACCACTTCATTTAAAACTCTAATGTATTCTATATATTTTTTTGATTAATTCAACATAGCTTTTATACAAAACTTTCCATTTCATAATCTATATTTCGTTTTCATTATTCGAAAACAATTAAGAATATAATCATTTGTCAAATAATTTATTTAACAAAACATTTAAGTATATAATAAAATTCATATCTCGTGAGATTGTACATTCCATCGGTATTTAGACGAAACAAAAACAAAAAAAAACTGACAATAATTTCTTATTCTTTTTTTTTTTTTGGATATCAAGACCAAGAACAAAATACAAAATAGAATTCTCTGTATTATACGTAGCGAACAGGAGAGTAGAGAGGATGACGATGAACAAAACGATTTAAAGGGTAAGTATGCAGCAAAAAAAAAAAGAGAAAGCGAAATTAGACCAAGAGAAAGAAAAAAAACAAAAAAAAAAGAAATCAAGCGACAGCACAGGGAGGTGTGTAAGATGGAATGTATGTGTCAAATATCTACAGGTAGACATATGAAAAAGAAACACGAGAAAACGAAACAAAACACAAATAAAAAAAAAGTTTTCTCTTTTTTTTTCACAACGCAGTTGGTTGTGTTGCATACATAGCCGAATGATGATAATAATCTGTTGATGATGATGGAACAAAAGCTGTTTGTGGTAATTGTGATGCATAGTATGCATTTAATGCTGCTGGATTATCACCAAAACCTTGATGCATAATAAGTGTATTAATAGCAAATGGTGAATAACCAGTAAATGTATGTGGATCAAATGACATTTGATTAAATTCACACTGTTCCTGTTTAAGTTGTTTAACACCAACAGTTGAACCTGATGATGATGAAAGTTGTAAATTACGAGAATCTGGAGATTCTGATGCTTTAAAAGAAAATATATTTAAACATATAATTAAAGAAAATATTTTTCAAATAAGTTAAATCTACCTGCTAATGCTTGTTGTTGTTGTTGTTGATGTTGCATATACATTGATCTTTGTTGTTGTTGATGTTGTTGTTGTTGATGATGATGTTGCATAAGTATTAATTGTTCATCACATGATTTATCTGATGCTGATGAAAGTGGACTTCGTTGTCCACTACCTGTTGATGTTGTTGATTTATCAAGACTATTATTTATACCATTACGTCGATTATTATTATTCGAATCTCGATCATGTTGTATACGACATGATATTTCACGTTTATTACCTAAAAAAGCTTTTTTATATTTGGCAAAAAAATTTAAATTATAAAAAAGAGCAACCGATTTATAACTCACATTTAAAACGTTTTTGTCGTCGAAGATAACATCCATTTTCAAACATATTTGTTGCATCTTGATGTAATGTCCAATAAGAACCTTTACCTGGTCTATTGAACACAAAAGAAAAAAAAATTCTTCTTTTTCACAGCAAAACCAACAAATGAAAATTACCGATCAGGACTTCGTGGTACTTTAACAAAACAATCATTAAAACTTAATGAATGACGAATAGAATTTTGCCATCGTTGTTGATTTTGACGGTAATATGGAAATGAATCCATAATAAATTGATATATTTCAGACAATGTACACATACGATTTGCTGATAATTGTATAGCCATTGTAATTAAAGATATATAACTATTCAGAAAAAAATACACATAGTAACATAGGTTAATATAAGAAAATGACGGATTTCAGTTAAATAAAAAAAAGTTTTGATAATATACCTATATGGTGGTTTAGCACATGCATTAAAATTTCTTCTATATGCTGTAGCTGCAGCTAATGCTGCCGCACTATTTGTAACATTATTAACTGGCATTGTTGGTACTTGTCCATTAGTTATAACTGCTGTTGAACTGTTATTTGTTTTATCATTAATTTGTTGATTTTGATAGCGTGTTGGTGAAAGTGTATGAAGCACATTTAATGATGAATGTGTTCCATAAGATGGTGATGATGATGAAGTTGGTTGTTGTGGTTGTTGACCATTATTATAAACCATAGATAGAGATGTTGGTGATAATGTTTGAACATTATTATTGACTAGTTGTTGCTGTTGATGATGATGATGTGATGGTGGTGGTGGTAGTGGTGGTGGTACAAGTGTATATTGTCCAGTTGGATTATTTCCATAGGGTGATTGCTGATAACAACAATTCGTTTGATAATTCCCTGATGTTTTTGGTGATGATGACATGGAACTGTAAATATATTAAAAAAAGAAAAACTAATGTTTATTTATGTTATATTTAAATTAACTATCTATGTTCATCTGTCAATAAAAAAAAAGAAAAAAAAATTTATTTATATTAGTTTTGTTAATATGTACTTATAATCGGATAGACACACATACACATACTTTTTTTTTCTTTTTTTTATTCAACTTCTTGAAAAAATCTTTATGTATATATGTGTACGATACGTGCGTGTACACGCGCGTGGATATGTTTGTGCGTTACAAATAAATGGAAACAATATTTGCTTCGCGCGTCGTCGTTGCTGACTGCTGCTGCTTGCTAGAATAATATTGGCTCCTTCTTCTTCTTCTTCTTCTGTAGATTTTACATCTCTTTATCAAGAAAAGAGAGAAAACGAGAGAGAGAGGGAGGGAGAAAAAAAGAAAACTTACTTCTTCTTCTTCTCGGTCGTGAAAGAAAAAAAGTCCTATACTGCAATTATTAATTTCGCGCAGAAAGAGAGAGAGAGAGAGAGAGAAAGAGAAACCTTCTCGGAATTTTTTTTTCTGCTTCTCTGCTCTTGACGACCTTCAACCAATCGTAATGTTGTTTTTCTATTGGCCAATCATATTCATTTTGTAACAGCATTAAACGAATCAAATGATAAAATATATCTCGATAAACATCTTCATCAATAAAATATTCGGTTACTTTTTTTTTGTATAAAAAAAAAGAAAAAAAAGAAAAATCCCAAGATTCTTTTTCTGGGAAAAATAACGATAATAATGAGTAGGTGTTATGAAATGTAATCGGATTGATTGTATAGGACATGATCATACTTGAAGTTTGACAAAATTAATTTATTATATACTTGATAAAATGAAATGTGGAAGTGGCAATAAATATCTACTTCTTCAATATTTCGAGTAACTGTGATAACAATATTTGTTTGTTTTATATTATCTATAAGCTTCTCTTAGTTAGTTATCTATTGATTCTTTTAAAACGGATAGTAAAGATATATATATATACATAAATATGTTTTTTTTTTCGTTTTTTCTTTTGTTGTTGTCTATAAGCCGATCTTCAATGATGAAAGTAGTTTTTCTCTTCTTTTTTTGGGTCATTCAAAACGAAACGAATGACCCTGATGATTTACATGTAAACGAATAAATCCTTTTTATAAACATTTCCTTCATAGTTATATAGAAAGCGTGATACCTTCGATGTTTGTCATATCTAACAAGAATGTATAGATGATTCGTTATACTGGTCATTCTCTCTTTCTTTATGTACGTGTGCAAATTGAGCAAACACAATGATAGTAGTCATCGTATCTAATCCCGCCCTGACGTGCGTATATATATTCTAGGCTAGGTTAGAAAAAAAAAAGGGATGGACTGCATGTGTTGTTGCATTTCCGTTTTCTACGTTTGAATGCAAATTGAGGAAGAAGCTTTGAATACCTTGAATAATCACGTATTAATTTTCTATTGGATTATTAAAATAAGTGAAACTATGACAATCAAGAAGGTGTGACACAGAAACAAAACAAAAAAAAAAGAAAATAAATCTTAACACATCGTTAGATATGATAACTCTCTCACCTGTATAAGAAGTTTTCATTCTTATTCTTATGGTTTTTTCGTTGTTTCGTTGATCAATCAATTTCGCATCAAATTTATTCGTGTATTCTAACTGACATATAACAACAATATGTTCAAAATGAACCTGTCTGTCGTTGTATACATACAACATAGTTCTTGATTTTTCTTTTTTTTTTTTTTCTTCTTTCTCATCGTTCGTCTTTCTCTTCTATATATTATTCTCATTTTCAAAAAGTAAATTTAAGTTAAGAGAACAAGAGAGAATATATTGTATGTATACATATATGTGTATATAAATGTTAAGTTTTTGTGAGTCACGTACAACATAGAAGACAAAGTTAATTCTAAACACTTTCTTAATGTATTTTTTGTCATCATTGACAAGTGTGTAAATATGTTCGGTACACAATGTTTGTTGATTACGGAGGGAATAATATTAATATTTCTTTTAACAGTACTTAGATAATCAAGATTTAAAACCACTTACTTTTTCTTTCTCTAATCTTTTCTGTTATGTGTTTTTTTACTGATTTCTAAATATGTCTGACGAAAAAAGAAAAGCAAAAAACGAAAAACGAAAAAGAAAAAAAAAAATTATGTACACGGTTGTCCAAGATAAATAGTCGAACAAAAGTAATTTGAGAATTGAAGCATAGAGGGAGACATACAAACTTACAAGAAAAAAAATAAAAAGAAAGAATCTTTCATTCAGATATTCATGCCATTAAATGAAGTTGAACGAATGACTTCATTAGTAGTTTCAAATAAGTATTTTCTAAGGATTCATTGTACGTGACACGACTTGTAATCAATTGTCGATGTTAAATATAATGAAAGTGAGTGAAATCTTTTGTTTTTCTAATGAATAAAGCTCCTAAATAAGCAGATCGATTTATATGGCAATTCGTTTTTTTTTCTCGATATTCTCTATATGATATGTCAAGACATAAGAATAATATTCTATTTGATCAAAAGAACTAGTTTTTTTTTTTTTGTCATTTCACACAGGTGTCTTTAAGTCAATGTGTTGATGATGATGATGAGTCTCTTTAAAGTGAGAACAAACATTCTTTTGGTTAAAATGATTCACTGCTTTATATTTCAATCACTTTTGATCATCAAATGAATAACAAACATTAATCCATTTCCTTTTTCACTACAAACTGTGAAAATATAAAAATGCGGATGTACAAAAAAAAAAAAAAATTGAGAGAAGAAGGATTTAGTAATTTATAATTTGTTAAGAATTTTCTTCTTCTTCTCTTCTTTCAATGCTTTTATCACATTTGATCACTTGACGACGACAATCAGCTCTTGTTCGGATGAGTGTATATGTGTACTCTACTTAGTTTGGTGTTGACTCTCGAAGCTTAACATAAATTCCTCGTTGTCTTTCTTTTTTTTTTTTTCATTCAATACATAGCTTTGCCAAATATACTTGAAGAAGTGCGCGTGTAGAAACAAGGTCAAAAATGAATTGAGTCGAAGCTTCATTCAAACAAAAGATCAAGCAATCCTTTTTTTTTTGATTAACATTGTTCCGCCTAGGAAAACGAAGGATTAACTCTTCCAATTTTTTATTGACTTTACATATTTTTTTTTTTGGAAAACGGGAACAACAACTACCAGATGGTTTTTTTCTCTTCAATTCAATTTAAGAATGTACACATGGAAGAAGTTTATTCATTAAAAATGAGCACAGAATAAACTTCTAGTCACACCTCATCATCATACATCAATTTCGGATCGTGACGAATAGGAATAAGAGACCAAACACGGAGACGTTTGTTCAGAGTAAATATACGAATGATGTCTATGGTTAGTTCCGTTGTCGCATTCGATTGATGATCGATCAAATTGTGTACGTTAACAAAGGAGAATAGGATGGAAGAGAAGATGATTAAAATTTACATTCGATTTCCTCTTACTGACATCACAAGTAAATACGAAAAAGAAAAAGCAAAGCAAAACAAATTCATTCGATTTCCGTTCAGACTTACTTTAACATCCATTTATGCATTTCTTTCTTTTTTTTTTTTTTTTTTTTAGAAAATGTCGAAAAAAAATCTTTTCAAGAGTTCACTGTAATCGGATCATAGGCCTTCAGAAAAAAAAAAGTAATCGATACCTGAACGAAGGTTTCTTGGCGTCAGTCAATATTTGCTTTTCCCGTTCTATGGATATATATATATATATATATCAATGTGCACCTTAATCAGATATCGATATGAACGACAAGAATGAGACGACGAAAAAAAAAACTGAGATGAATATACAATGCCATCTGTTCATTATTCAATAATCTAAGAGAAAAAAAAAAAGTCTTGATAGACATTATTAGTTTTTACTTTTGTATATACAGGTCTCATTTTGAATAAAAGTATGTTTGAGAACAAACATTATTAAGATATTGTATACATGTTCTGTCAATCATTATTATAGGTATGTTTTATTTAATTGAAAATTCGATCGACTTTAGTAGTTTTTTTTCTGATTGATAAAAAAAGTCTTGAAAATGATTTTTATAAAGATAAGAACGACAACAAAAAAAAAGAAAGAATATGTGATAATGAACTGAACTATGAATATTTAAATTAAGAGAAAAATTGTTTTTAGATAAATGAAAGAAAAAAAAAGAAATTAAAAAGGCTGTTCAAATATTTGTTGAATAGAAGTAAACAATTTTAGTTTTGATGCAAGAAATAAAAAAGAAAAGGGAAATTACTTGTTCCGATCCATCACCGGTTCATTTTAGGTACAATGTTTGATAAATTTTTATGTATTTTGTCATATGAAACAATAAAGTTGTAATCAATTTTAATGCAATTTTGTCATAGGTATATTTCAAATTTGTGTTATTTATTTATTTATTGGTTTCGTTTCATACAAAATATTCTTTCTTTTCAATGAAGAACATGAAAATAAATCTTTGCTGAATTTTCTCAATAAAATATTCTATTGATCAATCAATAGAAGATGAATTTCATTATGAAAAATATTTCAATATTTCGAATTGAAATTTTTATTGTTAATAAAAATGAACAAATTATTATTTGAAATATTATATAGTTTGAACTTATAGTTATTTTTCAACGATAATTTTTATCTTAATTCTGAGTTAAGTGTCGAAACTTATTCTGGTAAATATTTTCTGAAAAAATATTTACAATAATAACTAAATGTATATTGTGCATTGTAAACGTCTATTTAGATGAATTACTTTATTATCATTCAAACATACAAAAATTCAAACTTGGAATATATATATATACATATAAGCATAACAAAGATAGAGTTATATAAAAAAAATAATATATATTGAATCTTGTTTTTGATGTGTTAGCCATTATATAAAAGACAATAGAAATATAGATGGTTACATTGAGTTACAAAAATACCAGCACTGATGACATTGAAGCTATAGTAAATAAATTTTCTGTCGTTGTTACAGTTAAATCAAGGTTTTCTGTGTTCTTATATGTCAGTCAACCTTGCTAAATATTCCAAATAATATCGATTTCAAAATTTGAGAATATAAAAAAATTCATCAAAAACAAATCAGTCGATTTGTATGGAATTCTTATTATCTTTAATAATAATATAATGTGTAATGTAAAGAAATAATGTTATACATGTTTCAAGTTTGACATAGTTCTTAAATTATGATTGATTTATTTTAGAATCATTTCAAATTGGATTTAAAATGTGAACTACACGCTCATGGAGGAGTATTGCTATTGAAATTACGAAATTTAAGTAAATTTCATAAATCGATACGAAATCTTATATTTAAGATTAATTTCGTAGGTAAAATTGATTACTATACTTTCTTTTTTTGTTTCTAGATTTTTGTTTCTACTGCTGGTAATTAGATTAGAGTGTAAATATTGTAAAGCTTCATGAAAATTACCATAACTTCATAGAAGAACAATTGTTGAAATGTTTATATTGATTTTTTTTTTGTATTTATTTAGTCAATAAAGTGAATATCACAGCAACTAAGAATAAAAGATTTGTTTTAAAAAACAATAAGTCTGTTTTATTACCAATAATAACTTTTAGACTAGAACCATGAAAAGTGAAATTTTCCTATTAAATCAAATATAAATAATACTACATTATTACTGAGACAAAACAAACTTTACTTTTGCCGACATATTAACACAAATGAAAAATTAAATTATTCAAATACTATTCTTGTTTATGTTTGATTAATTTAAATTCAAAAAACGACTTTTGTTTTTAGTATTTAGAAAAAAAAGTCAAATAGATTCGAATATATCTCTATTAACTATATATAAGAAAAATTTCGTGATATTCATTTTAAGATGAGTTATAAGTTCTATTTATTGTAATTCGATGAAAATTTAATTAAAAGCATAATTTAATTTCAATAATATAATTAGATTTGTTTGATTATTTTATGTCCAAATAAGAACAATATGTTCGAACAAAAAAAGAAAGTATAGTAATCAATTTTACCTACGAAATTAATCTTAAATATAAGATTTCGTATCGATTTATGAAATTTACTTAAATTTCGTAATTTCAATAGCAATACTCCTCCATGAGCGTGTAGTTCACATTTTAAATCCAATTTGAAATGATTCTAANCCAATAAACGCGTTCTCCGGCGTTTTCTTAATGAGCGTTAATGGCTTACAATCGCCGTTCCCGATTGTGCGTTTAAACGCGTTTTCAAAATTTTTGTCTGACTGGGCAGCTGCTCAATCCATTGGCTTACACTTTCAGCATGCCGCTTTAATCTATAAGCATATTCTCTATGCTTAATTTAAAATGTCATCATTTTCAATAGAAAACTATATAAAGAATAATCTAAAATTTATTGCAACAATGAAACAAAAAATTTTTAAAAATTTGCTTGATTATTATTTATTTAAATACCACTCGTGCATTTATTGCACATCTCAATACACTGTTTTACAAAACAGAAAAAAAAATAAATGTAAACAAAACCAACCGGATGATTTTACGAAATCAATACATACGATTAAAAAAAAAAGTGAGAGGAAAAAAAATAAAATTTTCTTTTGTTTTGTTTTTTTGTTTCAAAAATAATTTTTCGTTTTGTTTATTTGATTAAAGGAGCTATCTCAGGATCATCCGTCCATTGTATTAATTCTTGACGTATTTCATTGTTAAGTCCATTTTGATCTACATATTGACAAATTGTACGAAGACGTTCTAATTCTTGTTGTAATTGTACAATAGCTTTTTCTCGATCTGTAACAAGTTCTTCTAAATATTCATAACGAAGTTTTTTTCTATGACGACATTGTCGAGCACTTTCACGACTTTTTTCTAATCGTGTATTTGAATCACTTTTCATTGGTTTACGACCACGTTTACCCATTTTATATTTTTTAAATCTAAAAAACAAAAAAAGAAAATAGAATTATCAATTAATTTCTAAATTTTTATTTTGTTTTGTTTAATCATCGATTGAAACTAAAGGACAACACCAATACGAACAAAAGAGAGAAAAAAATCATATAATAAAATGTAGAACAATATTCATAAATTTCGGCTTCTTTTTTTTTCGGTCGTTTTCTATTGCACAGATAATTCAAAGGAACAAAAAAAAAAAAAAAACGAACTAAAAATAAATAAAATTATGTTCGAATTTGAAATCGGCCTTTTCCAACTGTTGTTATATATTTAACACCTTTAAATGGTTTATATTTTTCTCCATGCATATCAACACGTTGTACACGTATGCCTGATATAGCTATTTGATTTAATGTAAACCGTACATTTAATATTGGATTAGATTCTGGTATTGGTTGACCGGTTGATAAAACAATATTTCCACGTAATGATGGTAAACGTGCAGCACTTTGAGCATTACTTTCAATTTTACCTATATCCCAAACAAGAATTTTCTTCACAGGATCAAATGTAGATTTGCCTTGTGTGGGAGTTAAAGTACAATTTAATACACTTTTTGGCATTGTACATTCAATAACAACAGCTTCAAGCTAGAAAAATTAATAAGAAAATAATATTCATATAATTTTCGAAAAGGAAAACAAATACAAACAGTTTTTCCCATTGTTTGTTTTGGTCCAACAGTTAATTCGAATCGGCCACTACTACCTTCACGAAATTGAATATTGTGTTTAACATAAATTGGAATAGATATTGTACTAGAATGAATAGAAAAATTTCACTTGATTTTAGATATTATTATGATGTCATTTTACATATATATATATTCCTATTATTTAGAATGAAAAACATGAGAATGTCTATGTCTATGTTATATATACAGGAGACTTCGAATTCAATCTATTTGAATATTTTTAATCGAAAAAAGATAATTCGATATTCTTATGAATTTTTTTCAACATCAAAACACAACAAAGATTAATATCCTACGTATTAGTCGAAACTATTTTTTCTAAGATTTTACTTTTTTTATTCTAATCAATATATGATTATCTACAACATGAGACATGTGAATGATCTGTTTAATCACGGATAAATAAAAACCTTGATTTAAGATAGATCCGTACAATGCCTATTAAATTAATCATTTTCAAGTCTGATTTTAAAAGTCCATGTTTCCACGCCTATTCAAAATACTTTTTCAAGAAAAAAACTTTTGCAAATTTCTGCCATATGATAGCCATTAGCTTACTAAGTTTGACATCTGCTGATACAGAAAAAATACAGGATGTCAGGAAAGTTGTCTACTAAAAAAGAACATTCTATATCTAAAATACGACTAAACCAAATCAAGTACCTTTTTCATCTGTCTATAAGATTAAAATTTAAAAATACTCCTGAAAATTATACTCTTCCTTTTTTTCTTTATCCTGATATGGTTGCCACCTAGGTTTGTTTTCTCTTACTTTACAAATATTTGCATGACACTTTTGGAAAATCTGAAGTAAAATTTGTTTCCTTGTTCATTACAAAAACTTCGAATAAGAAGTCTTCTAATGAAACTGACATGATTTCAGGATTTTCCACTGTCATCAAATTCAAGACTTATATCTCTAGCTTTTCAAAACAATGTTCTACAAATATTTTTAGAGTAAGAGAAGAACATCTGAACGGCGAAAAGTTCAGCATAATGAAAGAAAAAGATTTTCATAATGCATTGGATTACGAAAATTACAACGAACGTACTAGAATAAATATCTTCTTAAGTGTTTTATTAATATCACCATGCTTCAAACATTTATTTTTAAAGATGAACAATTCAATTTTCTACAAGAACGTATTACAAACTTTTCTATGAAATATTCAGCAAAAAAACTTGATAAATAATATTGCGAGATTTTCATATGATTAACTTTCACAAATAAAAAAACGCTCTATGTAGGTCTGTTCGTTGACTTTTTAAACTAAAAAAAAACAAACTGTAGCGAATCTTGTGATACTTAAAAGAACTCTATCTTGTAATCAAGGTAATCAAATTTTTGTCTCAATACCTTCGATGAAAATGAATTATTTCTTTTTTCAAATTTTTACAAAAATAACTATTTTTTGAATCATCGATTTCGACACTCAGAAAAATTTTGTATTAATCAACAAGAAAAGAAAGAGTCAATATAGGTCAAATTTATTTCAAGTTGAAGAGAGTTGAAATGCTGGAATTTGAATAGGGCTCTTGTTGTTCTGATGTATTGCACAAAAAAAAAATAAAATTTGAGTGTTTTTTGGCTCAGTTTTATTCAACTAATGTTTGCGTCAAAAAAAGAACATCTTGAATAAAAGGAACGTCAGTGTGTATTATGAAAAAGAACGCAACCACTGATACACTTAAACATACTCTGTAGTATTTTTATATTTGTATGAAATGTGAAAAAAATGCTTGATTATTCTGAAAAACACAACCTTTTTATTCATCTAATATTTTTGCTTAACATTTTATTAAAAAAAAGCTATTAGTGCAATCCCTACTGGATGAAAATGTGAAACACGAATATAGCTGCTGTAGTTAATCACACAGAGATTGTTACATTTCTTCATCATCCTCTTACTTAATCGTTTCGAAATGTAATAACGAAATAATTCTTACATTATAACGAGACTTGATTGATATCTGGTCTGTGATCGTATATCAATGTCTGTCACGATCTGTAGGGCGTTCAAATTTTTACCCTTATACTTCAACAATAGAGACTTACAAATTGGTCACGGTCATACAGGTCTCTATTCAACACTCCTCTTAGATTGTATCTCCGAAAAAAAAAAAAAACGAGATTAATAAATGACAACATTGAGATACTTAATCTGGCGTAATCTTCTCTATCCCCAGAAAACAAAGCTATTTGGTTTAGTTTAACTTGCGTCAATGAATAGTTTCCTTTCTTAGCATATGATTTTTCGAACACCTTGTATAATATGATATGAAATAAATTAACAAATAACTTACTTTTGTGAACCAATATGATATGAAATTAAACGAAAATTTCCATCAGGTGGAATGAATGAAAGGACACGTTCACTCTTTAACATAACGAAAAAAAAGAATTAAATCATTTAGTAAACAAAACAAAAAACTTCAATAAATCATACCTCCCATTTTTTTAATCTTACACATGGATGAAAACTAACATCATCCAATAATCGCGGATTAACAAATGATAATGTTAAATCAGGCATACCACTTAATTTAACACAACAATCAATCTAAATTAAAACAAAAAACATAATTAAACAAATATTCCAAATATAAAACTTTAAAATCAGCAATTAATCAAAATATGTGCATAGCGAAAATCTTTTTTTTGTTTTGTTCTATATAGTCTTTGCGGATGATTTAGCATTATATATATATATATGTATTCGTACCACACCACTGACTTCAGCAGTGACAATTATTCCTTGTTGATCAATTATGGCATCAAGTGATTCAATAACATCGAACAAAATTTCATTTATACGATGTTTTATTCCTACTTGACGCCATGTTATACCTGTTTCCATTCCAACAGATAGTTTTTTTGCATCTTCACGTGACATCATAACACTAAGATATTAATAAGAAACAATGTATTTCAAATGAATATCTCAATCCCTTTTTCTTTTTTGTTTTTAAAATTTTTATGTTTTTTTTTAATGAAAAAATAAATAAGATACTTTTCTTTTTTGACGTCGTACAACAATAACCATAATTATATTCACTTACATATCCTTGAATTTCACACATTATTGTAGCTCCATTACGATCAATAATAGCATCTATTTCTTCAATTAAATCAAAATAAGCTTCATTATTTGTATATTTAACACCCATACGACGCCATGGAATATTTGATAACTGACTAGATGGAAGTGTGTTACTAATGCTAGAAGAATAAATTTTAAGTCTATTGTCTGTATTTTCTTTTTCTTTTTTTTTTGTATTAAATATTAATAATTCTAAAACTGAAAAAAAATATGCAAATGTTCTTTTTCTTTTACTTACTTTGTATTATCTCCAGTAACAAGATTTGCAACTTTACGAAATATATTTGGTGGTTTAATAAGTTCTTTTAATATATTCGTTTCTGTTGCTAATGGTAAACCAGAATCAAGCATTTCATCCAAGAGCTATTATGTTTAATAAAAAATTTAAAGAAAAAGAGACAAAAAAAAAAAGAATTACTTCATAAACAATAACATAATTATCTTTGAGTGATGTTTCTGTACATTCACCAAAATAATCTTCAAATACGTCCATTATACGATGAAGAAATTCAATGACAAAAAGTGGTGCAACTAAAAGTTAAATATACAAAACAAAAAGAAATTTATAAACGAGAAAATATTACAAATTTAAATAGGCTCTAAACCATTTTTTTAAATTTTGCTTCTGAGAGAATCTCACGAAGTAATAAATCAGTTTCCAGATGAATCCTCTATCACTAAGAAGATTCTATGGAAATAGGATAAAGTTAAACGAAGGAATTTTTTCAGTTGGTCGATCGGTTTTTTTTTATGAAAGCTATTGAAGTACACGTTATCGACCATACTAATACCTTCATATGCTGGTTTTCTAAGCTAAAAAGTTTTTTGTTTGATGTTCTCAAATTATAGAGCATAACACATTTTCGAGATAATAGTAATCTTTTCTGTTTTAAATGAGTTTTTATTTTTTTTTACAAAAAACACAGTCATTTTAATTCATACAACAAATAGATATCAATATTTTAATGCAAAAATTTGTCAAAATGATATTATTTTACGTAAAACTCGCTTTATAAAAACAGTAAAAATTATTGACTTATTGACAGCTCAATATACTCTATAATCTCACTAAATTCAAAATTATTTCAGAGAAATATTTACCAGTTTGAAAAAATGATCTTCTAGAAAACCAGCAGATAAAAACCTGAGTGAATTTTTCATGGTCATATTGTGAATCAGCATAATCGTTAACCCTTGAATCAGTAGACTTTGATGAGAAAGTCATCGATCAGTTGAAAACATTCTCTATTAATACGGTTTATACCTATTAACCTTTCGTCATCAGCTATAACCATTTTAACTAGTTTTTCAATAAAGAATGGTGTGATAGGGTCCATTTTTGAGTTTCGAAATTAAACTTTATTGCACAAAATAAAGTTCTTCATTGGACTAGTCTGTCCAATAATAAGATGGCCGTGGGTATTTTTGTAATAACGTTCGATAGGAACAAGATAGAGACCTGGGATTTTCACCGTTCGACAGAGGACAGAGAGAGACATCGAGACATGCGATTTTCATTGGTCAATATATCGACCAATCAGATGAATTTCTGATATGATTTTGACTTGCAATACCACCATTCGATAGCAAAAATTGTTCTCTGTCGACCTACGCAAGGCCGACCTTGCTACCTTGTTCCGTTCAGGAGATATAAGGGTTTTCCCGAAACCTCCGTTTTTGGCTACCTGTCCTCTGATCGCTGGAAAATATATCTAGGGAGGGGTAATCGGTCATACTGAGTGCAGTGGTGATATTTGTTTTTCGTTTCAAAGCGATCCGACACTTCTATAGTGAATTTTTTGACATCTGATATTTTCTCACTATAGGACCGAGATAGTCAATATTGTGAAAACTCGTTATTGAAGTGTCGGATCGCTTTGAAACGAAAAACAAATATCACCACTGCACTCAGCATCACCGATTACCCCTCCCTAGATATATTTTCCAGCGATCAGAAGACAGGTGGCCAAAAACGGAGGTTTNATCCACTATTCACAGTAACATGTAATGATGTTCCCGTTGAGTATCTCGGTCCAGTTATCAAACGACGTGAGCCGACTATTGACGATGTGATTCCTGTAGCACCTGGAAAAACCATATCCACTATTGTTCGACTATCATCAGTATATGATATGACTCAGACTTGCAATTATTCAATCCAATATAATATGCCAATTGAGCATGTCATCTTCAGACATACTCAAACATTGAAGACACTCCCTGGCAAACCCATTAGTAAACTTCAATCTCATATACAGTCGAACAATATTCGATTGGCTGTCGAAGGTCGTTCTAATATTAAGCATAGACAAAATAATATTATGACTGTGCATAAAAGAGCAGCCACTCTTAACTATGTTGGTTGTTCAGAAAACGCTACAGCCGACATTATCACTGCAGTGTCTAATGCTCTGAACTATTCTAATAATGCTTTCATTTATCTGAATAGGAAGAAACCTACCGGAACAAATCGCTATATGACTTGGTTTGGAACATTTGTTTTGACCAACTGGAATAGGGTAAAGGGACATTTCCAGAATCTTACCGGCGTGTTTAATTCGAAAAATATGACTTTCGATTGTACATGCAATGTTTCCAACTACTATGCTTACGTTTATTCGAACCAGCCATACAAAATATACTTATGTCCTGTGTTCTGGAATGCTAGAATGACAGGCACTGACTCGAAGGCTGGCACACTTATTCACGAAACATCACACTTCACAGTAGTCTCTGGAACATCAGACTATGCATATGGTCAAACAGCATGCAAAAGTCTGGCAATAACCAATGCAGCGCAAGCAATCATGAACGCCGATAGTCATGAATATTTTGCCGAGAACACTCCTTCACTCACATGAAAAGTTCAAGCGAATGCAAACCTTACTAAGAACTATATCTACATGGATAATTCTTATGGAATGATGTTTGATTGGTTTCTTTCCATAAGAAAAGGTGAATTTGATTTCATATTTTTTTGACTAACAACTTCAAAATAAATGTAAAAAGTTTAATAGCAGTTTTAGATTTTTGAATCATTTGATAGGATGTTCCTTTTTGATTCTTTAATTGTATATTATTTCATTATTTGTTAAAGAATTTTATTAATAAAGAAATTTTCTTGTAATGTCAGCACTTCGACAGTTCTGCTGCCACTATCAATGCACAGTATGTTGGAAGCTTGGAACCAAACTGACTGTTTTCCCGATTTGAAGTCCATTTCTGTTGAGTTTTAAAAAGTCGTCAGTTTTCATTGGCTTGTTGCATGTCTTTTATGAACTTTTAGGCCATTGAAGTTCCTGACGCAATGGGAAAACTTCGTGATTAAAGTCGATTAAAATTTGGAAATCTTATGAACTTAATGTGAATTAGTAATAGCATTATTGTGAACGAAAATTGCAATTATATTCGATTAATATTGATTGATAATTTTGATTACAAGTGATTAGTGATATTAAAAGAATTGTAATCGATTTTCATGTAGATATTGTTTCGGAAGCGTCATGGTGAAAATTCTCGTATAATTGACTTCAGTCCGAGTTTGAGCAATTTCTGATACTGTTATACTAGTTTGTAAACGATGAGATGAAATTCAGTTAAATAGAGACCTTTCTTATGCAAAAAATAATGAAGATTTGATTATTATCAGTTTCATTCCGTTTTTCATATGAAAACCATCTGCTGTTATTCCATGCTACATGGTAATTTTCAATCATTTTACATGAATTCTTGCTTTATAAGTAGCTATAAACATACACATTAACGATATGAGATTTTCGCGATATTCGAACGCATAACAGGATTTTTTAGGATTTTTTTTTGATTGCTCGTGTTTGGAAGCCATGAACTTGTCATCAAGCTAATCTCCGACAAATGCAGTAAAGTAGCAATTGGTATATAAATTGTTTCAAATTGAGATGGTGCAATTACGTCGGATATAGATTAAAATCAATTTAAATTAGTTAGATTGCTTTAATCGATTTCAATCAATCGTATACGGATTTTTACCTTTTTCTATATAATAGTTTTGCATATATGAAACAATTTTGTAATTGCTACTCTAACATGTTTTATTCATCTCTTGCGTAACGTCTACTTTCGAACGAAATCAAATTACAACCGAATTAATCATGAAAAATCAAGTTTAGATCCATCAACTGGATTTTTATTGTTTCAAATTTCAATCTATGGGAAAAATGAAAATCGATTGTAGATTAAAGTCGGATTCCTAATAGAACAATGAACAAAAGTCGATTAAGTAGACTATTTTTTTGAATCGATTGTATAGGATTATAATTGATATTGATCCGGTTATAGAGGAAAATGTGGATTGTTGAAAGAAACATTGGGATTTATATATCGATATTCAAATATAATCCTAAGTTTCATCTTTTTTTTTAGTAGGATGCAAAAAAGCGGTCGAAAAATGACATCGAAATCCATTTTCTGAAAATAATAACCAAAAACTCGATTACACATACCACATTTTAATTTAATTCAACGAAATAATAGATTAAAAAAAGATTTTTTCAAGAAATAGGCAGTTAAAACCGCTTTTTCGACAAATAATAATCATCGATTAAAAATTCAAATCGGTTTTTATCGATTTCTAATGTAATTATAACATCTCATATGGAGCAATTTAGATACAAGGTCCGACTTTACTACATTTTTGTGACTTGAATTGAGTAGCAAGTTCATAGTGTGCAAACATGAGAAATTCAAATAATCATAGATAATTTGGCGTTGTGCGTTCGAGTTCGGAGAGAACGATTCATCATCGATTTGTATAGTTAAAATCGATTAAAAAGTGGTAATGGACAAAATGGAGAAAAACTCAGGTTATGATCATCTTGTAAGTGGTCTAAAATCGATTATAATGACACTTTTACAATCCTAATTTAATCCTTAGATTAGATTTAAGATGGAAAAAATCAGCTGTAATTGATATATTAAATGATCGTTGGATCGGAATTATGCCATTATAATAGATTTTTCATCATAAAATAATGTATCATAATCAGATTTTTGCGGTTTCTTCACATGGGCTAGACTATTTTGCTAGTGGGTTTCGATTTTCACGGTTTTAACGGTGCAGAAGTATGAACACAAATGTTGCCATTTGATGAAATTTCCATCATAATCAAAACGGACTTGTAAATTTTGATTTCATGCTTTCTCATAGTGCAATAACGCCCTTGGATCACGCTGAATATATTGATCATGGTGACAAAAAGTTAGCCAGTCACTGGACTTTAAATTCGACATTATATAAAGATTTTGAACCTGGAAATTTCGAGCTGACTTTTGCCAAGCTACTTTTAATTATGTGTCAGAAACTCTCAATGTTCAGGGGTTTTGATTCATGTTTTTGTTAGATAATATCAAAAAAGATTCTGTATTGTTGTGAAAGTTCTGCCAACTGCTACATCATGCAAATATGATAGTATCTAGGTATTGAAAAATTTCAGATAAAAAAACATCAAACTTATCAATTCTTATAAAGAAACTATATCTATATTGAAAAAACCTCAGTTGAACCAAAACATAGACATGTTGCTCAACATCAGCTGTTGTGAGTTAGTATCTTAAAAATTTTTGAAGGAGTTTCTTGTTCGCTATTAATATTAGCGTATATGGAACGTGGCCAACGAAAATAGGGGACGCTGCTATCAGAAAATCCCATAGTTATTGAAGTTTGGCATTGTATATCACCATGAAGCTGTACTAATAAACTTTTTCTCAAAAGAGCTAATAGACTATAATGGATACATATAAACGTATCCATTTTTCGCCTATGAATTCCTTAATTGAACCGGTCGGTTTTTCGGCAGTTTCTGCTGGTTAAGCCAGTACTTTCAACTGGCTAGTTCGTTTGAAAAAAATTCATCGGATTTCAAGTGTGAAATGGTTATTTTTAGAGATAAATGTGGTTTAAAGAACGAAAATAATGATCCTATGTTTGTTGCTCTCAACCAGAAATCTTACAGATATATCTACAATGAAAGGAATCAGGGCCTATAACAATGACCATATGCCTCCATGATAGTGCATCAATCATTGTTTCATCTTCATTTTGCGCTTTTTACTGTTGTATTCGCTCAGGATATATTATGAGTCGTACAGTGAAAAGAATTTTATTCAGTGTAGTTTCATGGATAGCAATAGACAAGGACTCTCTCATTAATAATTGATATTGTTTTGTGTCTTTCATGACGACTTGTCAATCGATCCAGTTAGCTTTATGATTATTACTAAGTTGGTGTTTCAAAAGCAGATTTTATTTGATTCTTTTGTTTTTTTCAAAGTTTTAATACCTTCTTTATATATATATCAATTCATCATAGTACCGGAGTATATTTGTTTAAAAGTCATCAACAATAAATAATATAGTTTTTTATTCTTATATTTCAATATATGAATTATATATTTATTTTTTATTTGCATTTTATATTCTTCATATGTACATGTACGATCTATTCTAATTCAATGCCTAATTGTTGCAGAGTTCATAGGCAAAAATGAACACTTACTTATCTATTGTTATATTTATAATTATGTTCATATTATTATACTACCGATGATGGGTCTGAGAACTCGAAAGCTATAGATCCATTTTGATTAGGTACTATATATTTTATTATTATTATTACATTATAATTAGTCTTCATCGTTAGTACGTATCATTGTCATCATCATGTCCATCTTACTACCATAAACAACAATATAGTAAATTAGAATAGGTCATATACACATATATACAAACAATATTAATAATAGAAATTAAAAATAAAGATATAATTTGATATATTGAAATATAAGAATAAAAACTGCATTATTTATAGTTCATAATTTTTAGTTGAATTGTACTTCTTTTCCTTTTTTCTGTCTGATCTATGTAAATGATCTGAATTAATTGTTAAATTTGATGGTTGTGAAGATGTAGATGTTTCATTTTCTAAATTAGCTTCATGTTTATAGAATATACTGATTATAATACATTATTGTGTTATATTTCAGTTATTGAGTATATATAATAGTTTGTTTCATGAATAACCAATCAAGAATCCATCAATCTTGGTTATCTGCCTGATTTTATTATACAAACATGTATTCCTATATTAGAAATACTCAAAGCTCAGCATAAAACAAATCTATATAAAAATTAATCAACCAATGCGTTCTATTAGCTACTATGTAAAGGACTGGCTAATATAAATCAATGGCAGACTTGGTTTGATAGCTGTATCTAAGTGAAAGTTAACGGGTATTTTATCGTGAATACTTAGAAACCCTAGCTCGAAAATAAGATGTCTTTGACGAATAATAATTAACTTTGATTTCTTTTCGTATCTCTTGTGATTACAATTAATTTTGCTTTACATGAATATATTCGACGAATATATCATGAAAAAGTGACTAATAATGTCAACGATTTCCCTTGGAGGAAAACAGAAATAATTGATTTCTGTTTATGTGAATAGAAACTTCTGATAGTACACAAGTCTATGCAAAGCTAGTAACTTTTTCGTATTTATTCTTGTATGATCAATGTATTATTTCGATTGGAACTAATCAATATTGGTTATCAAAAGTTTGACTCGAATATTTCTGATGTTTATTCTTGATGAGCCAGCTGCATTTCACGAAAGAAGTATACAAACGATGTTTGATATACTGGAAGCTTATTTATAGAACAAGAGTTTTTCTTTCCAATTACACGTTTCGATTTATTCTGCAAGTTTTTTTTTTAATTAGTTTATTTTGCAAAAAAGAAAACAGTGAAACAGTATAAGTTTATTATTTGTAAAATGATTCAATTCATATAAATGTATTTTCTTTCTCTTGATATTGCAAAATTTTTCTATAAATAATAAATTATATTTTCAAATGTCTACATATTTTTTGTGTTATGTTTGAAAAAAGAAAAGAAAAAGAATGTTTCAAGACAAATGTTTTAAACCAAGAAGAGACAAGAAAAGCCATAAATAAAACATCGAACTAGTCAACATAAACATGAATTCATTCTCCACATGACTTTATGTGGACGGATTGTATTGTTGTTTTCTTTTTTCAAATGTCATGAGGTTGATATTAAAGTGATGACCGTTCAACACTAAAATCATATTTAAAATATTGTTCAATATCATAAGCTGATAAAATACTAAATGAATCTAAGCCAGATAAATCATTTTCATTACGTATGTTATTTATACCCATTAAATATTTTGGATTTATTTGAAATGGTATACCATCAAGAATTTCTTTTTCATCACTTTTTTTTGTAAGAGTATTTGTATTTGAATAATCAGATATTTGATAATTTTGTTGTTGTTGAGATATTTGACATGCATGATGACTCATTGGATTTGGATAAAGATTTGATTGTATTTGTGGTGCTGGTGGTGGAGCACGAAGTAATGGTACAGTACCTTCTTTAACACACATTTGTAAGCCATTAATATCACCAATTGATGTATAAAATTGTGGTGGCCGCTTTGAACGATAAAGAAATATAATATCACATATACATTTCATACCGCCTTGTCTTTCGACCATTTTAACACAAATTAATCTTTTAGTTGTACCTTTTTCACGTGTGTCCGATGTAAGTGTTAATACAACATAATTTGGTGGTGGATTATCACGTTCATTTATAAGTTTTATATCTTCAAGAACAAGTGTACGCATATCAGCTAATGGCCATATACGAGTTATACAAATAAAACGATCTTTACGTTCAAGTAATGAATCAGCCATAAGATCAGCATCACGATTTGTATCATCATAAGCTAAAAATATCAATAAAATTTGATTAAAATTTATTTTAACTATTCTACTTAATATGAGAAATTATTACTCGGACACTGTCATAGATTTATATTTTCTAATTATATAATGAAGAAAATTGAAAATGAATACAGGATCTAGTTTTAAATTTAATTGAATTCAAAAATTCCTGTGTATGATCTATTCAGGTATGAGACGTAAAAATGTTTTTCTAGATTCAAGTGAAAATATGTAAACAGTTTTCTTCGAATATTGATCAATATCAGACCACAGATCTTATAAATAAGTATGTGTTCTTTCATAATTAAACAAGTTTTGATTTAAAGATTAAACTTTGGAATTTTCAGGTTCGAACTCGACTCGATCTATATTCATTTAACAATTGAAATATGTAGCAGTGTCATTCATTTCGAATTACATCTTGAGAAATCACAGAAATTTCTCTAAAATACAGCACAAACAGATACTATATTAGTATTGGAATTAATAGATGATATATAACTTTCCTTCTTTAATACAAAAATCGTTATTTTTATTCATTCAAGTGTTTAACATAACATATTCTCATGAGTTGATCAAAAATTTCTTGAAATTGCATGAGCAGATTTCAAATGAACATTTCATATTTGCCATCATTAGAAGAAAGATAAGTTTATTACTGATTTCAAATCAGCGTAATCTACAATTATGGAAAGACAATCATGAATATAATTTATATTAAGGCAATATTTCAATAAATTAATAAAATTGATATTTTAATAGTTTGATAACATTCCATTTTGACTGTTAATCAATTTTTGACGAATTCAACTTTAAAATATTCATTTCTCTATCTTAATTAACTAATATCTAATTGCGAGTACAGTGACTTGTAGTCGAAAGATTCTAACATCGATACTTGCTCTTCTAAGACTTTAAGGAAACATTCTTTTCAATATTTTTAAAGTACGAATCGTCAGGAAATGTTGAAAATTTCACAACAAATAGATCATGATAAGCAGAGCAGAAGCTATCATCGACTGCAAATTTGCAGACGCTTTCCAATAGATGTTAGGGTTGTCGAGTTTTTTTTATTTTTTTTGTTTCTTTTCATCTCCTTTCGTTCAAATAAAAGCATTCACACGCTAAAAGCATCCTAAAAGAAAACCCAGTGGTACATTTTATTGTGAAATAGAACAAAGGTAGACATTCCAAACAATTTCTAGTATAAGTAGAAACAAATTTTTCAGCTTGCTTATATGTACTCTGGTTGAGAAATGAAGGTGATTCTTCATTATGTTTTTTTTTGTGAAAAAACGAGTTTTTCCAAAAACAGAAATAATGAAGAAAATTTTGATCGTCTATTCTTTCCGTTTTCCCGCTTTTATAGTTATATATAAGTTCTTGAAATATGCTTATAGATGCAGAGCAGGACAAAAAATGTAAAGACCTAAAACTTTTCGGTCAGAAAAGAAGGCAGTGTTGTAACCAGAAAAATTTTGTGAAAAGAGGCTTCAGTCTCTCTTTTAGTGAAACTCAACCGTTAGTAGAAATGCTCAGGCCCCTTTAGCCCCCATTTTCTTTACCTTTTCTAATACAATGATAACCTGTTGGTACATTATGCGGTTTCGATACCAAGCAAATGCCTGTAATAGGTAAATTTGTTTCATTCATTGATAATAATATATTAAATTTTCGTTAATATTTACAATATGGTTTTTGAGATAATAAAAAAGAAAATTTGCTAAAGAAAAATATGAAAATCTAAAAAAAGAAGAAATATTTCTTGTTCTTTGTTTCTTTTTGACATGTTCACAACCAAGAATTTTTTTCTCAGTGGTGATGACACATCAAATTGTTTCTGATTGGTTGAAAAAAATTGTTAATGATTCGATAAATACATTTCATCAGATTTTAGGAAAAAATCTTACATAATTTTAATGAAATTCTTTTTTATATATTTGTTTTATCTATCTAATTAACTTTCATATCTAAATATTTTCTAACCAATCACATGTATGAATATTCTCCTCTGTCCTAAAAAATAAACAAATATTCTAAGGAAAAATTGTCATCAACTTTCTTCAAGATTAATCAAACGAACGCATTATGGTGAAACAAAAAGGTAGAATTTTATAAGACTTATTTTAAGAAATGTTTTAATTTTTTATATGTCCATTTGTAGGAAAAAATATATCAACACATGAGTTGATGTTAACAACAATATCTGACGTTGTTAAACAACTAATTGAGGCATACGAACAAGGAAAAGAAATTGATTTAAATAAGTAAATTGGAATAAATTTATTTGAACAGAAGACAAAAAGGAAACTTTTTAATTTTCATTAGAGTTAAATGTAAAGCATCAGCTAAATATGGACTTGGTTTACAACCACGATTAGTTGATATTATTGCTGCAATACCAGAATCATATAAAAAAGTTCTTCTACCAAAAATAAAAGCTAAACCTGTTCGAACAGCTAGTGGTGTAAGATTAATTAATCAAATATTTCGTGTAATATTTGTTTTTTTCTTTATCAATAATTAGATTGTTGTTGTTGCTGTTATGTGTAAACCTCATCGATGTCCACATATTGCTATGACTGGTAATATTTGTGTTTATTGTCCTGGTGGACCAGATTCTGATTTTGAATATTCAACACAATCTTATACAGGATATGAAGTAAATTATAAAAGAATATAAATAGCGGTCAACCGAACATTAATATTTCTATATAAATTCATTTTTTTAAAGTATTTTCCCTTCCCTCTAAAAAATCTAACTTTGGACACAGCACATGAGATATCGATGAAACTTTGTATGGTTATTTGATTCATGGAAGTTACATTATTAAAACATATCGCGCCTTCATACCGTACTGTTCAGGAGATTCTAAGAGACCAAGCTCTAAAGTTCGAGTTGCTTTTGCGAAAGGCTTTTTTAAGTTTTTATTCTGTTGCATGTTTTTTGGATCATTGAAACTTCAAGAAGTCTGGAATTTCTAGACATTGCTTTCTGGAAAGATCGGAGTTTATCTAGCATCGACAATTAATTAAAGAATTTCTTTCCCTCATCTGAAGGACTATGGATGTATCTATCGATTAAAAAAAGTATAGCTCTCTAGAATGAAGTGTTTTGAGAAAAACATAAAATAAATTTTTTTTATATAGTCTTTCTATAATATACTTAGGATGGAGGTGAAGCCTAAATGTATTACATGTCAATCGAAGTACTTATCTATGCCCATTAAATTGTCCTTGTACGATATACATTATTATAGATGATCCTATCTACGATTGCCTTGATATTTTTTATACCATTCGATAATGTCATCAAGACTGATTATGATGGTTAAGTTTTACAACTCAAAAAAGAAAAAGAGTATTTTATTTTATATGAAACATCTACCTTCAGTGTGTCGGTATGAATAACAAGAGAATCTACACCTACACCCTAAAGAAGGAGAAGAGACTTAAAATATTCGAGTATCAAACTGCAAAAGCATTTTAGTCTTTTAATATATAAGATTTTCACTTAAATTTCTAGTTGAAAAACATATTGAATGAAAATAACTTAAGATGTTTTTTTCTTTTTTCGATGAAATTTTTTCTGTTGAGTAAAGAATTTTTATTGAGTTTATTATTATGATTAAAGCTTGGTGAATAATAGTTATGAAAAGTTTGTTTTCAATTCATTCAATCTGAATCTTTTTCATTTCTTCAAAAAAACAAAAGAGAATATCAAAGTTAAATATTCTTTTGCATGTGTACTATACAAAAAATAGGTCTCTTTTATCTTATGTCATTGTCATGATTGAATTTCACTTTGAAGTTTTAATTGATCATAGGTTATACTTTAGTAAATGTATGTGTTGCTATATACGAATATTTTATTTATAGTTCTCTTGAGAAAAAAAATATTAGTATTGTAATTTTTGAAGCTTATATTCGCTTGTTCTTTTTTTGTTTAGCCAACATCAATGCGAGCTATTCGAGCACGATATAATCCATATTTACAAACGAAACATCGTCTTGAACAAGTATTTTGATATGTTTATTATAATAAAAATAAATCTAATTATTTTATATTCAGTTAAAACAACTTGGACATAATATAGATAAAGTAGAATTTATAGTTATGGGTGGAACATTTATGTCACTACCAGAAACTTATAGAGATTATTTTATTCGAAGTTTACATGATGCTTGTTCAGGTCATACGAGTAGTAATGTTAGTGAAGCTGTTAGGTAGGACTTTTGTATTTTTTAATTATTGATTAAATAAATATGTTTAGTTTTTTATTTTCAATAGATATTCTGAATGTAGTAAAACAAAGTGTATTGGTATTACAATTGAAACTCGACCCGACTATTGTCTTAAAGCTCATTTGAGGTAGAAAAAAAAAACAATTTAGAAAAGAAAAGTCCATTAAATTTCGCTTTTTTTTTATTGCTAAGTGACATGCTTGCATATGGATGTACACGTCTTGAAATTGGTGTCCAAAGTGTTTATGAAGATGTCGCTCGAGATACAAACAGGTTTGTTCATGAAATTATTTTTAGTGATGTTTTGAGTGATTCAATTTTCTTAAACGAAATATATTGAGAATAATGATAACATGTGTACTATTTATAAACATAGCTTGATATTAACATGATTTGTTCGAAAAAATCACACTCATATTGTTTTGTAATATGAATGAATTTAAGCATTATTAAAAAAGTGAAATTTAATTTTCAAATATTTATTCAGCTTGGAACTGATGTGGAAACCTCTCCGAATTTCAAATCAATTTTTGACCGAGACGATGCTTATTTGATGAGTAATAGAAAAGTTTACTTTCCCGAGCCCTCGTTCTTGATATATCGAAATTTGACTATGTCTTTCAACAAAAAACTGTAGTCCAGTGAAAAATCTACTTTCGAGTTTTGACTTCAAATTTTGCACGAACAAAGCTCTCAATGAGATTAGTTCGTTGAGCAAGTTGTAACTGTTTTTGTATCTTCTATCTTAAGATATTCAATATTTGAAATTCTCTCGTGTGTACAAACAAATTTTGTTCAGATATATTCACATCTTCAGAAAGGAAAGAACAGAAAAAAGCTAAAATCACAGCTTTTGTTGAAAAACTCAGTAAAATTTCGATAGCTCAAGAACAAATGTCTGAAAATACCAAACTATTCTAGACTTTCTTATTTCTCATCAAATGAACATCGTCTCAATTGAAAAGCGATTTGACCGCTGAAGAGATTCCCTCGTGAAATACGTCTTATGTTAATAAAAACGTTTTAAATCAGATCAAATGAATTATGTTTTTCTTGTTATTACAGAGGACATACTGTAAAAGCAGTAACTGAATCATTTCGAATGTCAAAAGATTCCGGTTTTAAAGTTGTTTCACATATGATGCCCAATTTACCTAATGTTGATCTTGAACGTGATCTCGCTCAATTCAAAGTAATTTTATTTTCGTTAATTTTATTTTTTTCATTTAACTTTATTTCTCTTCAAAGGAATTTTTTGAAAATCCAGAATTTCGTCCTGACGGGCTTAAACTTTATCCCACACTTGTTATTCGTGGCACTGGTAAAACTCTTTTCTGTTATTTAACTTCATCAAATATTTATTTTTTTTCAACAAGGTTTATATGAGTTATGGCGAACAAATCGTTATGCAAGTTATCCTCCTTCAGTTCTTGTTGATTTAGTTGCTCGAATTCTAGCACTTGTTCCACCATGGACACGTGTTTATCGTGTTCAACGTGACATACCAATGCCACTTGTTACATCCGGTGTTGAACATGGTAATTTACGTGAACATGCTTTAGCACGTATGCGTGATTTAAATTTGGAATGTCGTGATGTTCGTACACGTGAAGTTGGTATACAAGAAATTCATAATAGAATAAAACCAGAACAAGTTGAACTTATACGACGAGATTATGTTGCAAATGATGGTTGGGAAACATTTTTATCATATGAAGATCCTGAACAAGATATATTAATTGGTTTATTACGTTTAAGAAAATGTACTAATGAAACATTTCGAACAGAATTAAAACGAGGACAAGTGTCAATTGTTAGAGAATTACATGTTTATGGAAGTGTTGTACCAGTACATGCTAAAGATCCATCAAAATTTCAACATCAGGTTTGTAAATGAAATTTAATTAAAGATTTTTAAATAAAATATCATTATAGGGATATGGTATGTTACTGATGGAAGAAGCTGAACGTATAGCATTAGAAGAACATGGTTCATGGAAAATTAGTGTTATATCAGGTGTTGGAACAAGAAACTATTATCGTAAATTGGGTTATGAACTTGATGGACCATATATGTCAAAAATTCTTGGTCCAGAACCGGTTTAAAATTTTGTTTTTCTTTTCTTTTTTTTTTTCTTGTATACATACCGGTGTTTTTTTTTAAATTTCTCATGTGTGTGTTTTGTTGATTTATTCGTTAATGAACGTAAAAATCTTTAAAGAAAAATTTCTTTTGTTTTCTTTCAAGAAAAATTTATCATTTTAAATTATAGAGAGTGAAAACAGCAACATGAAACGACATATTCTCTTCTCTTTTCTTTCCTTTTCTCCTTCTATTCATATAAATCGGGAAGCAACAAACATCGGCATGATATTAATGCAGTCCACGTTTTTCTCTGACCACAAAGAGAGAAAAGAAAGGCAGAGTGCGAAAAAGAGAGGGGGGAGAGAGAGAGAGAGAGAAAGAAATATACTTATGCATCGTCATGTAGTCGTTCCGTATTACATACACTAGTGGAGGCAACCAACATTTAGAAATTTTCTTTTGTTTATTTTCACATATACACCCTCTATTGAATTCACATTCTAATCGAAAGGAATACATATCATAAATAAAGAATAAACTTTAGTTATCGATATTCCGCGCCAAATTCTATGATGATCATGTTCTTTTTTTGTGTTGCCGCTTGCCCATATTGATTAGTTGTTTGATATTATTTTAGATATTTTTCATGTATAATCAACGAAATAATAACGCCCAAGTGGATGATGATGGTCGAGGACAAATGCAACCAAGATTCCATCGTTCACGAAATTTTTATCGCAAACGACCGGGTTCGAAAATCAATCTAAAAAAAAACATTTTATTCTTTATTCTTTATTAATATTTCAATTGAATAGGCAGTGGACGACAAAATCAAGATTTAGGTGAAGATGAAAATCGTGCATCAAATGATGAGGACACACAACGATCGAATTATTCTGATGATAATAACAATTATGACAATGAAAATACAAATAATTTTCGTGGTATTATAGAATTTTAATAAAATATTATGGATTTCAGTTTTTTAAATTTTGTTCAAAGGTCGTGGTCGTGGTGGTTGGCGAGGTTTTCGACGTGGTCGTGGTAAGATAACTAATTTCTTTATTTGCATACAATGCATTTTTATTTAGGTCGAGGACGTTTTAATCGTGGTAGACCGTTCTATGGAAATTTTCGTCGAGATTTTTCACCTTATTCAAATTATATAAATGGACCCGGAGGTAATTATGGACCGTCCGGTGGTATGTACAATAAAGTTCATGTTTGAATTGGTTATTGTTTTCTCGTAATAAAGGATTCTATGGCGGTCCAGTTCAGTTCTATCGTCCACCGTATCGTGGTCGTGGTTATCAAGCACCTGGTGGTTATGGTCCCAGTGGTGATCTATCCGAACAAGAAGGTTTTAATGATTATCCAATGCGTGGTGGTAATCGAGGTTTTTTTCGTGGTCGTGGACGTGGTGGACGTCGTGGTTCAGGACAAAGACGAGTAACACAAACTGAAAAGTTTGTTTTAAATCTTAGATACAATTTTCCTTTTTTTTATCAAATAAATTCTTTTGTTTTAAGTGCTGATACTACTCAAAAAGAGAATCAGAATGAACAACAGCAACAACAAGGCGATACTGCTGAAAATAATACGAATAATAATGTACGACGTGGCTCCAATCGTCATCGACGTCATAGACGGACAAATGATGAAGGTTCTGGTGCTGAACAACAAAATGATGGGTAAAAGATTCTTTTTTGAAAAATATTTGTTCTTTAGTTTTATATTAAATTTAAACTTGAAGTGCTGCTACTGATGATCAACAACAGGATGAAAATAAAGGTTCTGGTCATCAACAACGTAAACGATCTAATCGTCGGTGAGAAAAGCTCATCAATCTCTTCTTTTTGTGTTTTTATTTTCTTATTCTTGTTTTTCTTCAATTTTTAGACGACGACGTAATACCAATGCTAGTCAAAGCGGTGCAGAAACTGAAGAACGTATGTAATTTTTCCTTTTTTGAAATCATCATTTTATCTATATATAATTCTTCTAGAACAAACCAGAAAACCTAAAGATGATGAAACAATAGTTAGAAATGTTGTTCGTAATATGGTCAGTAAAGTGGCTCGTCGTTTAGCACCAAGAAATCGTCGACAAAGTCGAACTAATAATAAAGAAGCTGGTGCAAATAATGATAATCAACAGCAAGATAATCAAGATAATACTGATGTTGATCAATCACACACAGGATATCCACGTCGTGGTCGTGGTCGGCGTGGTTATCGAGGAGGTGGTTATTTTATGGAACAAGGTAATATTAAACTTAACGAGATTTACTCTATTAGAATGTTACTGTCTTTTATATTAGGCTATTATGATCCATATGGTATGTCACCATATTATTATGGCGCTTATTATGGTTATGGTGGACGAGGATATCGTGGTCGTGGTAAGTTGAGTTGTTGAAAAATTGAAGTTTTAGATGAGAAGTCTTTTTTTGCTTTGAAGGTCGTGGTCGTGGTGGACGTGGTCGCGGACGTTTTCGTCAGCGAGGTACGTTGAGGACTAATTTTATTTATACATGATTGAGTGATGGCTCTTTTTTTTATTAAGGATTTAACAAAGAGAATCAACAACCACATGATGATCAACAAAATAACAGTGAAGAAGGAAAAAATGTAGAATCAAATGCAGCCGGTGATGTTCCTCAAGCTCAACGTCAACAAAATAAAACAACAATAGCTGAACAAGTCAATCAATCTACAGCATCTGGCGACTCCAGACAACAATAGACGAGTTTCTTCCTTTTTTTTTTTTCGTTTCCCATTGTCCCAACATTTTTCTTTTTTTGTGCGTTTGAGAATAAAGCTTTGTTTCTTTTACTGATGTTGTTCTTGCATTCATCTTTATCATCCAAAAAAAAAGTTCTTTTGTTTTTTTTTCCGGTGTTATGTTTTAACTTGTTTTTTTCTTGCTGTGTATCTCTCTTTTTTTTTTGATTCATTCTGTCTGTCATCATCTGTAGACAGTATTAAACTTATTCATATGACTTAACTCTGTAAGTGTGTGTTTTTTCTTCTATTTCATGTGTAAATGTTTGTCCATCTCTATTACATAGATGTGATAATCTTTTATTCTAATAACATATTAGAAATAAGATTGATCATAAGCGCACATCAACCAAGACTTTTTTCTTTTTTGTCTTTATTCGTTCTTTTGTCTCGTTTGAAATAAAACAAGGAAAACAACAAAAAACTTTAAAAAGAAACAAAACAAAATCATGGCTGAATTAGAGAATTCTTTTTTTTCTTTATCTAATGTGAAAAATGATTAAGCGTAACAATGCAAAATACAAATAAAAACATGTCAGCAAAAGATTAAATTGTATTTAGTTTTGTTGTTATTAAAACACGAACTGTTTGATCAAATGCTGATGTACAAGCTAAACCAGTCTTATCTAGACTCCAATCAAAACCACTTGCTGGCTGACTCGATAAGCCAATATTTTGAAGAAGAGTTAAATTACCAGCTACACCTATTTGAGTATTATCAGATTGAGTCATAACACGTTTTTCTGGATAATTACTAAACGAGAAAAGAAAATATTTATTTCATAAGATTAATTATTTCAGAAAAGAACTATCTATTTTATCTCCAACTTTAGACTTGTTTTTATACCAATGATTCTAAATATTTATTCCTTTATAGATCTGATTGACATAAAGAGTTAAGATCATTGATTGTTCCGTCAAAAAAAACGAAATCGAGATAGACGCATGAGAAGATAGCTCGAGGTCATGAAAAAGCACTTCTATAAATAAGATGATCATTTTGTGAGAGTTTTTCGAAGTATAAAACTTTTCATCTTTTTTCTACAAATAAAACGTAAGAATTTAATAAAAAACTATCAACCATTGCAATCCGACATGCTTTTTCAAATAAAAAGAAATAAAATCTATAAAAATGAGAGTACACAGCTAATTTCAACCCATGTTTGTTAAATATCTATCTCTCGAAAATCCCATGCTATAGGACTAAAAACTTAAGCATATCCTCTTCACTACATCTTCAACACATTCCGCAAATTTTCTGCGTTTTGAATGTATCTAATCTAAGACCGATTTTTCAGAAGTCTTACGAAATTCAATCATTGCAAAACTTTAGAGTTTTCTAGTTTCCATAAACTCAATATCGAAATTTTTGTTAACTCAAAAACAAATAAATTATTCTAGGTTGATTGTTCAAATTTTTATCTCAAACTCTTCTCTCAATATTTAAATCATGAATATTTCAATTTCCATGTCATTAATTTTCACTTACTATTTCCATAGATAATATGAACCTGAACCTCCACAAGTCATAAATATATCACGATTTTGTGGTAAATGTCGGCCAAGCCAAACAGTAGAATTATGAGCCTTCAAATAAAAACAAAAAAAAATTAACATTAAAAAACAAAACAATCAATATGTTATCTTTTACTTTTTCCACAACAGATGCAAAACCTTTTTCATTATGTTGAGTTTTCATATCAAATACATGTATTTTACTTTCTAATGTTGTTGCAACAAGTTTATTCAATTCAATATCTTTTCTATCGAATTCCAAGCAACATACCTAAATAAAATAATTAATTCGCTGCTAAACAAAAAAGATTAAAATTCAGTTATTCGAACCCCATTTTTAACATTTGTTTCCCATCGAATAGACATTGTTCTTAAATCAAATAATTTCACATCTCCATTATCATAACCTGCACAAACAACTCGTTCACTTGAATTAACGGCATTACCAAAGCAAACTGCCCAGCAATCACGTTTTGTTTCATCTTCTGCTGGTTCCATACTAGCTACAGGCATATCGGCTTGTCTTGTATCCCATATATGTACGCTACCTGAAAACAAAACAAAAGCAAGAAATAGAGTAAAAATTCAATAACACAAAAAAACAAAAGAATTTAGATAAATATACCATCTCGACTAGCTGTTGCTATTTCTGGTGCACCTTCACCAATACCTAATCCACCAACACCATCAATAGCGTTTATTATTTCTTTATGACCTTTGACTGAATAAATTGGTTTATCAATTTTTTCCAAATCCCTAAAATTATTTTATAGATAAGAAAAAAATAATATAAATAATATGAATGTTATTTTACCAAACTTGAATATAACCATCAAAATTTCCTGTTGCTAAATGTCGTTTTTCTCGTGTAGGTGAAGCTCCAAATGTTCCACATTTAAAAGCTGAAGGTTTCTCATACTGAAAAAAAAAAACCATCCAATGAAAATTAATTTTTAAACAATAAAAACTGTTTTTGTATATACTTGTGATATAAGTGCAATATCTCCATGTGTTATTTCAAATATATCCAAAGCACCTGTTCCACGTGCATGATTACCAAGTGAAATAAATTTTGCTGATGTTGGAATCCATTTAACATCAAATACTGTATAATTAACTGACTTTTGACTATGTAAAATAATTTGTGGCTTATCCATGATTTAGAAAATAGAAAACAAGTAAAAATTGATTTTATAGTTGAAAGTTTGTTGTTGTTATCGCCATACTTGACAACAATTTTATATGTTCACTATCAGAATCCATAGAATAAACTATGGATTAGTCTTGATTACTGAAGTTGTTTTTCTTTTGTTTTGTTCATCAATTTATCATTGATAAGATGGCGATTGTAGTTGAACGTACCGTAACTGAATCAATTGATGATCTTGTTCGTGAAGCTGAGTCATTAAAATCTCGACTTGAAGAGGAAAGAGCAAAATTTAATGATATGGAATGTAAATAACAAATCTTTCTTTTGTTTTTTTAATTTTTTGTTATTTAAAATTAAACATTTCTTTTGTAGTAACAACTGTCGCGGAAAAACTTGATCCATTACCACCATTTTCAACAAAATCACGACGAATTTTAAAAGGACATCAAGGAAAAGTATTAGCTCTTGACTGGTGTAACGACAAACGGCACATAGTTAGTACGTCACAAGATGGAAAATTAATTATATGGGATGCATTTACAACAAATAAAGAAGTTTGTTTTATTATATTATAAAATGAAAACTTTGATTTTTATTATTTCTTTTCAAGCATGCAATTACAATGCCAACAACATGGGTTTTAGCTTGTGCTTATTCACCATCAGGAACAACTGTTGCTTGCGGGTAAATAATATATAGAAAAAAAGTTTTCATTTATTATTTTATTGATATTTTATATATAGAGGATTGGATAATAAATTAACATTATATCCATTAAATGCGGATGATGATGCAAATAAATATAAAAAAGTTGTTGCAACACATTCGAGTTATATATCTTCATGTAAATTTATGCATTCAGATCAACAGGTAATCATCTAAAATTGAATATGAAATCGTTTCAGATTATCATAATTTGCTTTGTTACACGTTGATTTTCGAATAGACAACTTCTTTTTCTTTTTGTAAATATCAAAAGATTATTGTTTCTCTTGTTTTCAAACCATTGACTTCAGTCTGACATATAATCGAAGAAGAAACTAATAATTTCAATATTTTGAGACACATATATCTTATAGTATCGAGATATAAATGTTTAATAAATAAAATTTTTATTATATTTTAGCTTTTAACAGCTAGTGGTGATAGTACAGCTAAATTATGGGATATAGAAAGTAGTATGGCAATACAAACATTTCAAGGTCATCAAGCTGATGTAATGGATATTGATATATCACCATCGGAAGCTGGAAATATTTTTGTATCTGGAGTACGATAAATTTTAGTTGTTTTTTTTTTCTATTTTTATTGAAAGAATATTTTTATTAATTTATTGTTTAGAGTTCTGATCATATTGTTATGGTATGGGATATTCGAACAGGTGGTTATGTTCAAACATTTGAAGGTCATGAATCAGATGTAAATGCTGTTCGATTTTATCCAAGTGGTGATGCATTTGTATCAGCATCTGATGATGCAACTGTAAAAAAGAGAGAGAAAAAGTTTAATTTTATATTAAATTTTCTTTTATTCTCATATTATAGTGTCGTCTTTTTGATTTACGTGCTGATAGACAAGTTGCTATATTTAAAAAAGAATCAATTATTTTTCCTTGTAATGCTGTAGATTTTTCATTGAGTGGTAAGAAAAATTTTCAACTTTAATCTTTATAAAATATTTATTCTGAATATTTTTAGGTCGACTTCTTTTCGGTGGTTATAGTGATTATTGTGTTAATGTTTGGGATACATTAAAAGGATCACGTGTAGCGACATTATATGGTCATGAAAATCGTGTTAGTTCATTACAACTTTCACCTGATGGTACTGCATTGGGTACTGGTTCTTGGGATTGTACAATTCGAGTAAGATTTTTTTTATTTTATTCTTTTCATTCAATTTTTCAAAATAAAATATCTTTGCTTTTTGTTTAAGGTATGGGCTTAATAATTGTTGATAGTTTACTTTTCAAACTCAATGGTAATGAAGAAGTAGCATATGTATTTTTTTTTTCCTTTCGTATTTCTGTATGTGCTTGTTTCGTTCAGACTGAAAAATGAGAATTCTAGTCAATGTTGTTTTGTAATCAATGTTTTTATTTTTTATTTAATTCCTTATTTCAACAGTAATATTTATTTGAATAAATACGTATTTCATTGATATTTAATAGCTCTTGTCATATAACGATTGATATACCACTTGTATGAAAATATATTGTTTTTTAACTCTATTATCGGAAACTAAAGATATATAACATGACAACAAATATAATACTAATAAACGATAATCGAAAACGATTTGCCGAGAAATGAAGTAGCACTGTTCTTTTCTTTGCCCTTCCGTTTTCTTTTCTCTATCATTTTGACTACTATACGTAAGTTCGATAGAGTGTGCACTTAGATTAGACGAAGAAAAATCTTAGAGTGAAGTTTTGTTGTTCTTGTTAGTATTAGTGCCAATGTTAACCAAAATAAAATACAAAACAAAAAAAGAAGAAGACGAAGAATAACTTAAGGACCGAACGAGTATAAGTAGGCACACTCGATTATAATAGACAATTTTTTGCTGTTCAAGTATATTCAACAGAAAGATTTCTAATAAAAAAAAAAAATCTTACAAAATTTTATTTTCTATTTAATAATAACAACAGCAACAACAGAGAAGAAGGAAATTTACAAACCATCTAGTAAACTTTCTTGTTTAAATAACAGGTAGGGTAAAAAAAAATGTTTTATACTCATTAATCAGAAATATTGATAGAAATAACACTTGAAATCGATTGAATTATTTTTGTTTTTAATTACACAAGAAAACAAATTCGAATCAATGAAAAACGAGTAAGATACTAATCTCTATGTATATATCTCTTATGCTACTGATTTATTGACATATAAATCAACCACAAAAAGATAAACCATGATGTCCAATATTCTGACTTTTCTCAAGTAATTATTCGATTTTACTTGTGAATTAAAGTCTATATACTTTTTTTTCTCTTCATCAAAGCACAATATTGTTATCTTTATGTTTATGTGGAACTTTGATTATCTTGTCAAACTCATGGGAAAAGATGTACTATGCTTTGTTTTTCTCTTTTAACATGTAGTCAGTCTCTCGCGTGAGGGTAATAAATGACAAGATATCACAAACTCCTGACGACTTGTTTGATCAACTCCATAGTTTTATATATAACAAAATGTAAGTATATAGAAACATATTTTTCAAAAGATGTAAGCAATAGAGTTAGTTTTAAAAATATATAAGTATATTATTGAGTAAACACAGAGTTTCTGTTTCTATTTTTTTCTTCTTTGTTTCCGTATCGAAAACAAGTCAAGATCAGTGAATATACATGTAGGAGTTCTTTTCGATAGATGACAGACGATTCTAAATAGATTATTGCGTTCAATCAACTAGAATCGAGAGGGAATTGAATTCGGCATACTCGCATACATACTCAGTCCAGCAAATAAAATAATAAGTTACTACGTATGCGTCATAACATTTACGTTCATTAGCTTTTAGATTACTTTATATTGCTTTTTGATCATCAAAAGAAAAAAAAGGTTTTTCACGCTTTTTTTTCCTTTTTTCTTAATATTTATTAAGTTTGTATTTGATAATGAATCTTGAAATAATGTATTCTATAGTAAAGAAATAACGAATACAGGAGACCCGAGTAGCTCTCAAGCATTAATCATATTTTAGGAGCTCTGCAAAATTCATTGAAGCAAAGTTCCTTTCTCTCGAACTTTCTTCCTATGATTTCCTTAGTATATGTTTTACTTATATTTCAAGATTAGATATTAAAGATGTAATGTATCATTTAAAGAAAAACAAATCATAAATATAACGTAAGTAAATAAATGCTTTTTTTCTTTATTGATATATATATATATATATAAGTATAAATGCCAAAAGAAAAGAAATGAATTGTTCTATATTGTTATAGAATCTAATCGGCAATTTATCTATAACTAAATTTCAAGATAGACCAGATCGACTTTTCTCTATTTAGTTGTCAATGAATAAAGAACATATGACATAAAGTGCTTTTTTTTCTCTCTTTTTTTCCCTTGTCTTATTTTTTCCCTTCAGTAAATGCTTCTTTTATAAATTCTATTCGTTCGTCTAACAACACTATTAATAAAGAGACTGAAGAGCTAATACATCAACGGAAAGAATAAGTAAGCTTCAAATAATTCACTTTTTTTTTGTATTGTAAGACTTATATTTCATAATTCAAAATCTCAGTTGTCTTTTATTGTTATAACCAATCTAAGACATATGTCATTTTTCATTTTCTAGATTATTAATATAATGATGAGAATTATTTTAAACTGAAAAGAAATAATTAAATATTTTATTGATCAAATGGGTGACGACTTATTGATTTGTTTTGCGTCATGTCAAAATACTAATAATAGTGGTGCTCTTGTTGGAAATGATTCTTATGATCTTGAATGCATAACACAATGTTCACAAATTGTTCCAACATTATATCAACATACATCGGAGAAGTATATAAGAGACATATTGATTTAAGAAAAAAATAACATTAGATACTTTCATGGGACTATGCAAAGAAAAAGACCTTGTATTCATTTCGGGTTTTACCAACTTTATTAACTAAGATTTAATTTCTTTTCCTTAATGGGTTTTGTATTGATGCAAGATAGAAAACATAATGGATTTAGACATCATAGTTGAGACGAAACAGCTGACGCTTAGAAACGAATTGACAGGCAACGAAAAATTTCTTTTACAATACATCAAATGTTTTGTCTATAAAGATAATGTTTAAGAAAATGGTGACACTTAAAAAATGAAAATGTTTCTTTTTTAAGATTGTTCTTGCCCGCTGTGCGTCCAAATACTCTATTGTCGGCAAACTAATGACTCTTGAGCTAAACACATGAGAATGTCAGTTAGAATATCTATTTTATATATTCATAAAAATACTTATTTTTTTTTAATTTTGAAAGGTTTCAAAGAGATGTACTCAACTTTTCTGAAGTCCTATATATAAATATTCTTAAGTGAATCTAGATAATTAATTAACTATGGATAACTCCATTTGCTGTTACTTGCATGTATAATTTTGAACAGTCTCGCGTATCTTGATAGATTTTAACAAATGATGTACCCAATGGACATATTTCATGTTTATATTCAATAACAAGTAGATGAAGTCAAGAAGAAAAAGTACTTTGATTTTTTTCTCTAAACCCCATATTTGTGTCAACATAGAATAACAGAGCAAAGTCTACTTCAATGTGTTCTTTTTTTCTAGAGAGCTGCGTGTTTCTTCGTTTGACAGGTTAGTACCTGTTCCCTCGCGTAAGGAAAAATGATTTGTCAATTAGAATCAATAAATAGATATAGACTGGATTTATTTTTAGAAAACTCGAAGTATTGTTCGTAAATTTCCCACGCGTTCAATTTATTCCGAGACCTGAAGCTGAAAATATATTAGAAAAAAAATTGCAGACACAAAAAGGTTCATTTAAAGTCATAATTTCTGTGACAGCTCTTGAACATTGCACTTCAGAGACATAAAAGAAATCATGTAACTTTGGTCATTATTGAAAATTTCTTTTTGAAAATGAAGAAGGATTTTAATATTAAATATATATGTTTATTTTTTCTAAGGTATACATATATATTTAAAATAATCGCTGTCGTCCTTATTACATTTGGTTTAATTGGTAAAGTTTTTAATTGTATTATTTTTCTTCGAAAACCGGTTTGTATTTATTTATTTATTTAAATCTATTATAAATTCTTTAATGAAATTTATGTTTATATAAATTTAAGCTTCGTGGTACATCAACTGGTTTACTTCTATTTTTAAAAACAATATTCGATTTTGTTCCACTTGTATGGACATTTGTATTTGATACAAAATTTTTTGTTGAAGATGAACAAATAAATGGATCGAGAATAATATGTACATTATCACGTAGTAGTGAAATATTTGTTTCATGGTCAATTGGTTTTGTTATTCTTGCTTGTACAGTACGTCTTGCTACAATATTACATTCAAGATATTTACCACAGCCAACACGTTTTCGTGTATTTGTACTTATATTAATGATGATGCTATGTGGTCTTATGTATAATTGGCATGTGTTTTATTATCCAAGTCTTGTTCAAACAATTTTAAGTGAACATAAAAATCGTACATTTACTTATTGTAATATCTTATTTGGACGTCAAATAGGATATTTTTCATATGGCGGTTTTCAATCTACACAAGAATTATTATATAATGCTCCAATAGTTAATTTTATTGTTTCATCATTAATTCCATTTGCAATAGTTGCATCAACAAATATTGTTATTATTGTACGTGTATTAAAAAATCCATCATCAAATCATATAACAAAAATGAATTCTATTAATAATGGCCATTGTAATCAATCATCAAAACATTTTCATGGTTCAAATAGAATACATTCAGCAGTAAAATCGACAACAAATATAACAAAAAAAGATGTTAGTTATGAAACAACAATAACATTAACAACAAGTTGTGTATTTTTAACAACAAATAGTATAGCAAGTACTTATGTTTATGTTAAATCAAGTCATCGTTCAAATCGTTCACGTTTAACAGAAGATGTTAAAACATCGAATGTTTATCTTATATTACGTATGTTAACATTAATTGATACAGTTTTAGAATTTTATATTTATTTTTTAACGGGAAAAAAATTTCGTCAAGAAGTTTGTCATGTTATTCGTGAAATTCTTCAACATACACCATTAAGACATTTTTTTAAATTTACACGTTTAACAAATAATAATATAAATAATGGACGACCACAAAAAAAACTATCTGAAAAACAATTAGAACTTCATCAACAACAAGAAAATCATTTCAATAAACAAAATCATGTACATTATTTAAATTTAATACAATCAGCAGCAACAACAACAACAATAATGTCAAGAGGTAGCAGTTATATTGATTCACCACGAAGACATAGAATAATAAACTTTCAATGGTATGATCCTGAAGAATCACTTGATAGAATTGAGAGTACTGTTTGATAGATGTTTTTTTTTGTCATTAATATTTTTTTAATATTGATTTCTTATCTTGCTAGAAAGAAAAAAAAACGAATTAACAAACTAAAAATTTTTTTTTATGATACTTAGATAATTTAATACGATCAAAATATATTGATGGTTTTCTACTTAGATGAACCTATATTGATGTGCCTTAATAATATTTTCCATCAAGCAAAAGAGAAACTAAGTTAAGTAATGCATGATTACTTGTCTGCAATCATCGGAACGAAAAAACAGCTTATGTTCCTAGAGAACAAAGATGAAAGTTCACTTTAATAGATTAGATCAGATTGATGTAGGCATATACCCAGACCAAGCCTTTCAGTCTTGAGCTTGGTGAGTGACGATCTAGATCTTTGTCATGCGTAAATAACGATTCTTGATAAAATCTGATCTAAAGTTTTCAAGCTCGAGAAATCTGAAGCTACAGTTGATTTGTCTAGAAAAATCAAACTTGAAAATTTCGAGAAATCATTAATAAATTCAGATTTTTCGACTACAAAAACTTTCGATCAAACCTAATAACACACCGCTATTTACTCAAAATAGACTTTCTTTCATCGAAACAATGGGCTTGAAAGTTTTCAAAAGCTGTTAATCAAATTGAATTTCTCTATTTGAAAATCTTTCTGTTGAACTTCACAAAAAACTAAACGTTATTTTCTCAAGATAAAACATCTCTAACTGTGCTCGAGACTGATCTCGACCAAATCAAGACTTTCGATCTCTATATCTATATAATTTGTTAAAAAAAATAACAGCATAAACAGTTTGATAAAGCATATCTATCAATATTTTACCAAGATTATTTAAATCATCTTAAAATAACAATTCAATCGTAAAGAATACTGTTATATTTTTCCCAAATTTTGACGATATAATTGTATAGTGTATACAACTGCATGTCCTGAATAAATATATTATTTATTCAAAAACGATCGTATTAAAATGGCTAGCATAAAAAAATCTTTATAGTTCTAATGAAGGTTTTTCTATAAGAAGAAAACTTCCATGTTTATTTTTTTGGACAAAAATTATTTTATATATTTTCTACAAAGTCTTAAATATCTTTCTATCAATGTTTAATATTCAATCAAAGAACGGCGATAAAATTAGACATACAGCTATCTACTAGTAAAGCCTATAGAAGTTTACGCTGTTGTTACTTAATATGGTTATAGAAATCACGACCGAACATAGTAGCATACTAAAGCACTTGATTATATGCACCCGTTGACTTTATCTTTCGATTCTTTGTTATGTGTACAAGACGGTTAGACTTACGATCAATAATGGATTCATATGCTGTCATGCAACAGACAATAACGAAATCTTGTTTTGCTCATATCTGCAATATTCCACGGAAACGAATAGAGATTATCAAGTATCTGTAATGTTTTGAATTTAATACGTACTATTTCCTTAGATGAATTCTTTATTCTCATAGAAATTGCTTATTGATTTATTTCATATCATTGAAGCATTCTTTTTTTTTGACATGTATCAAGAGATTTCCATTCCTTGACGAATTCTATTGAAGTTAACACATTGTATTCTACAATAGATGAAGCAAGTTTATGTGTCGAAAGAAATAAAGATGTGCCAAAACATGTGGAACATGTCGCAATCATTTCTGAATCGGTTGTAATTTGTCACTGGATATCGTCTTTATATTGAAAAGAAAAAAACGTCATTTGCGTTCATGATGATGATGATTAGCATATATTTTGAATTGTTTTTTGGCTATATGTAGATTGACGGACTATACTCAATTCTCGATCAATCAAGCGCAGAACGGATGTTCTATGCATTAATAAAAATAGACCATTACTTGCTAGTCGTAGAATAATCTTATCGATGTAACTGATTGTTTTACAGATAGATGACACTTGTGAGAGATCAAATTGATTTTTATTTGATTCTTCAGTTTTAATTACATTATTATTGATCATTAACGATTCGTTTTTTAACATGACTCGAAATCTGTTCAAATTTTTTCATGTCTTATTCGAAATTCTGAACTGTTGAAATTACTAAATTAATAATTTGTCTAGTTACATTTTATTCATGAATGACTATTTCTGCCACTCTAAATTGTAATTTATCTGTTTTTTTTTTGTTTTTTGTTGTTGGTCAACTTTCTTAGCAGTATGTCGTTCTCATTCACAGTGGTTTGGTTTGAAACTACGGTTAATTTTATTATGACAGTAATCATAACGTCGTTCAAGTTTTTGATGGCAATTACTAGTGCTGTTGTCAATGCTGACAGTTTCAAGTCGGTCGCCAAGTATAATTAATTTAATCAACCACAAGATTTAACTGAGCGTTGAGTATATCTTGATGTTCACTTAAATAAAGTCGACATGCATACTGATTACAACAAGAGTGCAGTGCATGCGATATTGATTTATAAAAATTTGATGACACAAGTTTTTGACATAATACGAGAAACTTATATCGATACATATCCACGCTAGTTAAAAAATACAAAATGAGAAGTTACCGTCATAATTTTCACAAGAAGTAATATTTATTTGTAAAAGAAAAGAGACTTTTTATGAAATGTAGCAGGCAAGTGGAAGCTAATGCTGTTATACTCTTCGCATGTAATCGGTGATATTTCAATGACAACTGAAAATGATGGTAAATACTAATGGCGTCGAGATTTAAATTGAAGGATTTCTCAATAAGAAAATGAATCTCACACAGAAGAATAATCGACAGATTATGATAATTCGACTGTTTGTTTACATGTTTGCAATGCAGTCAATGTATTGATCAAAATTTGGAATAAGTTTTATAAAATCGCACTTTCTAAAAACCAATTTAATTAATTGGGGAAACTTTGTTCCCTTACGTATAATCAACTGCAAAAACACAAGGTTCTTAGAAGATTTTTTTGTCTGTAGAAATTTGTAAAGCTCTTTGCATTGATCATTTTACTAAGAAAAATATTCAAGTATGCTCAATAAGTCATTGTTTTAGAGTCACGATACTTGAAAACAGTTGCTACTGCTTAGTAATAATCAGAAATCATCGAGGTTGTCCAGTATCCGATCATAACACTATGATTTATGAGTAAATATGAATATTTTTCTATCGAAATGATCAACGCAGTCAAGTCTACAAAGTTCTACGAACAAAATTTTGCGTTGGTAGTATGCAAATTGAATAAAAATACGAGCAAACTTTACAATATTACCATTTTTGACTGATGAACTGAAACAAAGAATTTTGAAGAAAAAATACCAAGTTTAAATTCTGAATATCAATATTGTTCAACTCAAAATGAAAATGATGATCGATTAAACTTCACTATAATTTCATTTCATTTCTCTTTTGAAAAGATAAAAATAATATTGAAAAAAATAACTAGACAATTATACTGACTAGTTTTGATGGCTCTTAATAAGTTTACTGATTGATCAGATATCGATTCCTATACGAAAGTAACGGTTACAATAGACAAATTAATTAGTAAAATAAATAGAGTTCATCATTTTCTGTCATTGGTATATTATTTTGTTCTGTTTTATTCTGACAAATATTTTCTCAATACTTTGATAGGAACTTTATTTATCACAAGTCAAAAAAAGTAGTACTGTAACTATTGTCTTGCTTGCAGGAAAACAATTTAGTCATAATACAATCGATAGTGATCACTTTGATGTCATCTTGTAAGCGTCAAAGTCAATATCTCTTTAAATACTTTTGTATGTGCATAGAGTAACATTTGTTAAACATTATTAGTCTTTTTTTATCATGATTAAGATGAGACAATAACCTTTTGTCTGTGATTAATCCATAGATTATCTTTAAACGGGAAAACAAAAATTCCTAGGTATCAAAATAAATGAAATTTAACATCAGTAGTAATGTTTATTGCTAGTATGCCAGATGTGAACATATTTGTACACTAGAATGGTCATTTTAATGGGTGGTCCAGAATAAATGTCACTCTCAATGTTTTGGCTATAACTTTTTTTCTTTGTGTCCTATAGAGCTGATTGTTTTTCCAAAAGATGCGCCGTGAAATTCTCTACAAAACAGTAATCAAACCTATTCCTGAAGAAAGTTAAGGGAAAAAATTAAACGAAGATTATCCAACACATAAAAAGTACCCAACTTTCAAAGCTAACAAGTGTCCCATGAATGGTCGGAGTTTGTGCTTCTTTTTTTCATCATTTAATAAGTTTATTTTAAAAAGACAGTATATCAGAAGATGCAGCATGAAACGCTCTACATGTTACATTAAAGACCTTATGCACTCTTTCTTTCAAAGTGAGAAAAACTTTGTCCGACCAATTTTAGATGCTACGAAAAGATCATTTATTGGTCTCACGGAACGTTGCTTATTTTAAATAACAAAATATGCATATACATAAAATAAATTGTTGTTTGTAAATTGTAGAGCTTTTCACGTTGCATATTCTGGTATATTTTCTTTTCTTTTAATAAAACATATTAGGTAATAAAAAGGTGAAATAACAAAAAAACGAATTCGTAGTGTATCAAAAAATGATCTTGTTCGCAGTCTTGAAAATTAATCGCATAGAATTTCGTTTATTTTGATAACAAAGGGTACATATATTAAATAAGATTTTTAATGTAACATGTAGAGCTTCTCACGCTGCATCTTCTCATATACCATCCTTTTAAAATAAACTTACTAGATGATGAACAAAAAAGATACAAACCTCGACCATGCACTATGAAACACTCGTTAGCTTTGAAAGTTGGGTAGTTTTTATGTGTTCGATAATCTTCGTTTAATTTTTTTCCTTCACATTCTTCAGGAATAGGTTTGATTACTACTTTGTAGAGAACTTCACGGCGCATCTTTTGGAAAAACAATCAGCTCTATAGGGCACAAAGAAAACAAAATATAGCCAAAACATTGAGAGGGGCATTTGTTCTGGGCCACCCGTTATAAGCAATTCGATCATTACAATAAACTTTTATGAACTTGAAATATTTTT